CTCTCTCTCTCTCTCTCTCTCTCTCTCTCTGTCTCTCTCTCTGATAGTCTATCAAGATGAGTGGAGGTGAGGAGTCCTAGATATATATTCCAACCTCCATGGCACCTGCCACCTTCTTTCCCCACCATGATAGATTATATCCCTTTAAACCATGAATAAAAATAAGCCTCTTCCTTTAAGTTGCTTTTGTTAGCTATTTGGCTACAGGAATGAGAAAAGTGGCTAATACACCACCCCTTGCACTTTTCAGAGCTCATATTTTCTAGACCTGTATTATCTATACAGACAGAGTTCGATTAATGAGTCTCAATATAGCCAAATTTCTCACAAGCACAAGAATGATGCTAGTAAACAGCCCGTGATGAAATTATTCTTCCCGGCTCTTCTCCGTGTGCGTTTGTTGTTGTTTTCAGTCATACGTTTTCAAGTGTAGGGGGCGATACTTTGCCAAGGATCTGTTTACTTCAGGTAATTTCACTTTGATGGAATTCTGATACAGCAAAGACCACACAGAACTGGACATCCTGGGGTTCATTCATTAGCTTTGGGAGATGGTGAAACCCTGAAGTCAAATGCAGAGTTATCTGTGTGCCTGTGAAGCCCATGTGCATGTGTGCACACACTGGAGAACTGGGGCAAAGGCACAAAGTCCTTACAACATTCCTGAAGGCGTCTGAGACTCCAAAGGTACAAGTCACTGTTAGAAACAGCTGTCTGGGGAGTGCCGTGATCATGCTTGAGCAGCATTTTAATGACATAAAACTTCTCATCCAAGGAAATCCACCTCACCAGGACAATAGCGGCCATTTTATCTTCCTATCTACTGTAACCAGTGAGTGCAAAATGCCACAAGTTAAGTATTCATTATCTGAAATGGCTGGATCTACAGTTAAGATTTTTATATTTCCTAGATTTTGGAATACGAGAGAGAGAGAGAGAGAGAGAGAGAGAGAGAGAGAGAGAGATTGAGAGAGAGAGATTGAGAGAGAGAGAGAGAGAGATCCTAGAGCACAATGAGATATCCTAGGCCCAAGTTTAAGCACAAATATCACTGGTTTCATCCAGTGGCTATCATTCAGGACTCCGTTTTGGGGTTTCGTGCATTTTGGATTGCAGATTTTTAGATTAAGGATGCACAGTCTATATTTTAACGAACTCATTTTAAAACAGAAACATAACTTCGGAAAGCAGCACGGAACTGAAATCTCTCTGGGAGCCGTGTCTCACCTTTGTACAGTGCGTAGGAAATGGCGTTGCTAACAATCTCATCTCCAGCTTCTTCCATTTTAATGACTGTTAATAGGTGGGAACTCTCAAGAATTTCCTTGAGCTGGTAACATTTAAAGAAGAATGCTGTCAGTGAACCGGCCTTGGGCATGACGCATTCAGACTTTTAAAAATTCACTTATTCTTTCACATTCGTGCATACACCTCTATGTATATCGAATGTACTTTGATCACATGCCCCCCATTATCCTCTTGTATTCCCTTCCCTTCCCACCAAACCCTTTCTTCTTTCCAACAAGTCCTCCTCCTACCTCTGTCGTGTGTGTGTGTGTGTGTGTGTGTGTGTGTGTGTGTCACTGCATTTAATTATGGTTGACTGACTGAGCATAGGAATGGGTTATTTGTTGAGTAAGGACAAGTTACCAGTGGCTATACCACCAAGGAATACCAGGCTAGCAAATAACAAGCCCAATGACAGGCATGGAGGAATGGGCTCCCTCTTTTGGAGACCTACCAACAATGCTGGCTATTGTTCATTGTTCTGGTTGCCTCCAGAACTTGACAGTAAGACCCTATTGTTGAAGACACTACACACATAAGTCATAGAACAAACATGGAACAAATCAAGCTGGTCCTGACCTTGAAGCTTCAGTTTTACTGGCTAGCTGTCATAGGGCAAGAAGGTCCTATGCATGCTACCAGAAGAGAAAAGTAATCATCAACCCTACCTAGCTGTGAATCGTATGAGCTACAACAACCGGCCTGGCAAGATAGGTTCATTGGTGCAATAGTGGTATGAATGTTATGGAAGTAACAACCTTCTGATTGGATTGCAAGCCTGCTTCACAATATGGAGCCCATACTTGGCTGTTATCAGGGCCAAGAACTCATGGCAAGACAGTTCACAGGCCATAGGGAAGAAACTACTACTATTATCCATAGTATTAAGTCAATTCCTAATGATTTATTGTTACACTCATAGATTAGTGCATCTGGCAACTCTCACCAGAGAAGCTCCTTCTTGCAACAGATGGCAATTATCACAGAGACCTATAACTGACCGTGGAAAACGAGAGACTATAGAGTGCTCAGCCCTAAACAGAACACCTATAGTATACACTCTCCTCTCAAGGCTTAGGGATCGTTGTGGAAGAGGGAGCAAAAAGATTGTAAGAGCCAAAGTGGTGGATGAATACAAGGAAGCCATGTTCTAAGAGGGCAGTTGCACATATGAATCCATAACAGTTATAGTAGCATACACAACATATAAATGCATAACAGTTATAACAACATATGAATCCATAACAGTTATAACAGCATGCACAAGACCTGTGTAAGCCCAAACCAGACAAAAATCCAGCAAGGGAGGGGGAGGTGGGCAAGAACCCCAGGCCTGGCTGAGGAACTATTGGCAATTGATAGCTTCTGGGAGAGGGAGAGGCAGTTTTGTTTGAAGGTGAGATGCTGGGTAGGTTGACCCGGCTCCAGGGCATGGACCCACACCAAGAGCATTGGAGAAACAAAACAGACTTAATGGGCCTTAAAAATAATAGTGGGCATGAAGTGAGGGAGAGGTAGGACGATTAGGAGGATCCGAGAGGAGATGGAGGGAGGATCTGAATATGACCAAATACATTGCGCGGACTTCTCAAAGTGTCAATAAGTACTTTTTAAATGACCACCTATTGGGAGTTCCAGATCTCCTTCCCTCACCTACAGTGGCTGCCCCATGGCGTCTAATTTCTAAATTGTAATGATGAACGCTTGATCATGATGACAATAACGTGCAGGGTGTACGGGGCACACATACCGAAAAGCTCCTGTCACAATGCTGAGAGTCTCATTCGACTAGGAGAGAGAGAGAGAGAGAGAGAGAGAGAGAGAGAGAGAGAGAGA